TCCTAGTCACATCAAATTGGGAGGGCATTTCAGGTAGAGCTGTCAAGTCGGGTTTGGTTCAGGAGCCAGGACAGGATGGAACCATTCTGAACCATAAGTGTAAGAGGGTGGTATTATATAAGTATGCAGATCCAGCTGGACCCAAGCCAGACCAAACCATTTTTAAAACCAAATTAGTCAGCCACTACAAGCTGTAATTTGCCTTCTTCTCCATATTAATAGGCTGTAATTTACTGTTTTTTGAGGCTGCACCTCGTGCTTCTCAATGTTGGGTTACCTGTACTGCTATATCTTTTGATTAATGAATTAACTTTTCATCTATAAAAAAAAAGTATTCTAGAAGGTTTCAACAAACTAAAGCATTCTAGAAAGTTGGTATAATCACATGTTTTAATAGGATAAAGGAACATTCCAGAATGAAAGGTAAAATTGGATAAGATGGGAATAGCTCTCTATCTCCATCTGATCTCATCTTTAACTGCTAACCTGTCAAAATTAGTTTTTGCTTGGATTCTTTTAGCCTTAGGTCCTCCGAAATGGGCCCAAGCTCTTCTGCTCTATCAATCTCATCAATCACACTTAGGCATGATTTTTTCTCAGTTTCTGCAGACAAACTATTCTCTAGTTTCCAAATTTTAACCTTTTCTTTGATTGCACTCTTTTTTTGCAAGGATGTATTAGTTGGAACCAATCACTTGAATATCCAACCAAACCGAATTCAACATTAGGGATAAAGCCATCTTCTTCAAACCATGCATCTTGAAAGGAACCTTGTTTCTTTCTTTCATTCCACAAACCAACTGAATAGGACTATGATCAGAAGCAGGTCTAGGAAGGGCCAGTTGTTTAAAAGCAGGGAAAAGCCCATCCTAATTAGAAGACAATAGGAACCTGTCCAGCCTTACCAGTGAAGGGGACTCCTGATTGTTTGTCCAAGGGAACTGAGCACCCACGAAAGGAAGGTCCAAAAGATCAAAATTGTTAATAAAGTCAGCATATATGCTCATCGCCCTAGTCCTTCGCCCTCTTGTGTTCTTTCCATATGTAGATATTGTCACATTAAAGTCTCCCCCTAAAGCCTAGGGACAGTCAAACGAACCACTAACCATTGCTAGTTCCTCCCAGAAAGCACTTCTCAGGCTAGCATCCATTGGACCATACACATTTGTAATTTGACACACTTACCCAACAGCCAAATCCAAAATCACAGAAATTGAGAACAATCTGATCCTGTGTAAAATAATTTTACACCATGTCAGGTCCCACATGTTCACCAAACCACCTGCACTGCAGACTATTGGTTTAGAAAGCCATTTGACTTGCCCTCCCCCTAGATACTTTGGATTGTAGCATCCTACATTATTTCCAACTTGGTTTCTTGCAATAAAATGATTTGGGATTTAGACCACTTTAGGACATCACACACCAAGATCATTCTCCTTCCTGACCCTAATCCCCTGACATTCCAAGAGAGAAATTTTAGCTCCATTTGACAAACCAAAGCAAAAAAACAGAACCAAAAACTTACCTCCTTAAGATCCCTCACTACTCCTAGCCTTATCATTTAATCCCTAAGTTAGTCTCATTTTTTCCCAACTTTTTTTGAAGATGCCCCTCTTTCTCGTTGCTAGCTTCGCTCTCTCTAGGAGGATTCTTTGTATGACCCCCTCCAGATAGTTGATTGTCTCCTCTTCCAGGCCTTCCATGACAACCCCAAAAATTTACCCAACCCCAGAAGCTTAGAGGTCACCCAAGAAGAGGAAGAACTGGGTTTTTTTCTTGACTTACCTCCATGGGCCACCACTGTTTTTTTTTTTTGATCAATAACTTTGAAACTTTTATTGATTAAAATACTTTAGGATACACCAATAAGTTACAAAAGAAATCAGCATAGTAAGCTGACCCAGTACAGAATTACAAATGTGCCCCAAACATATATGTTCTTTGAACCCCTTGCTTTGCTAAGCTATATGCCAAACTATTGGCAGATCTCCTTACCCATCCCACCTGAATTGACATGTTCCTTGACATCCATTTAAATCTTCTGAAATCATTTTTCAACTTCCATGTCACCCTTCCCCTTTCTGCAACCATTTTATCACAGTTTTTGAATCTCCCTCGATGATCAATCTATTGATCCCCAGCTCTTTAGCCTTCTCAACCCCATATACTGCAGCTAGAAACTCTGCCCGTGTAACA